CCTGTTAAGCTGCAGTGCAGTTTTCCTTCTCTTTAAAATATGGAAGAAACCAGCGAAGAACTGCCTAATTTTCTATCGACATTGACCTTTTAGTTGCTGATCCAACAAGCAGCAAAAAAAAAAAAAGCCGAAAAAAACTCGCAGGTTGCACGTTTCGCAAATCTGTCAAAAGACCAGCTGCAGCAAATTTTGGCCGAAAGACAGTCAAACATTTTATAGTGACACGAGTTTATTAAGCTTTCATTTTCTCCATTTTTCCTGTTAATTTTGAGCTTTTCATTCGAAGTTATCGGTTAATTGGATCAAATGTTGTCGCTCAAACCAAAGTATAAAATGTGGTGTGTTCTTGACCAGCCAATAGGGACGTTTGTTTACTTTTTCATGCGTTGTGAGAATTCAGCACTCTATCACAATAAAAAAGCTTTTTCGCGCAGATCCTTGTTGTCGCTGTTATAAAAGAATTTGTTCATGCTTTTAGTTGTGCGTATATCGAGTTATGGATGTACTCGGGAAGTTTGGAGAGCCCTCCGAAAGCCAGAGTAGCTCTCGGCTACGCTTCGAGCTACTCTTACGCATTTTTCGTGCTCTCCAAACTTCAGGGTGCATCCATAACTCGATATACGCACGATAAGCATAAACAAATTCTTAACTAAAAATCTTTCAATCTTAGCATAGGTTTAAAAATGAACTATTTACAAAGGAAAAATTTATCTGAAAAGTAAAAGCCAAACGTTTTCTACAGTAGGTCATTATGGGGTAAATAAGCAGGTAATTCCCGATGGGAAGCTAGAGTTGAAACTAGGCTTCAAATAATTAATTAGTATGATTAATGTATACATTTAGCCAAGCCTAAAAGCAGAGCTCCAGTTAGTTTATTTACTAGCGTTCATTTTATTCAAAATCCTTGGCACTGCCCGTCGAATAGGTTATCCAAGGAAATTTAGGGCCAATTCGGGTTAGGGAGGGGAGGGGGAAGGGGAACATTGGCGGGTCTGGAGCCTAGGGAAGATGTTCTCACAACTTGCAAAACGATCAACACGCATATTAGTCATTTCAGCGGTATCTATAGGCAGCTGAAGAACTCCGTCGATGTTCCTGATGTTTTGAACGGATTTTTTGGAGGATAGGCAAGGTCTTCTTCCTTAAATAGACAGCATGAGTTGAAATTATATTCTAGTATCAGTTGAAATTATATTTTATAGGGTGTGAATGATAATTTCAGTGTGAGAAAATTAGCCAAAATTGAAAGAAACGACGGTAAACGACTTCGAGTCAAGATAGATTTTACTTTTGGCTTAGTCAATGAAGGTTTTATTATAGAGCAAAAATATTTCGCTCTCATAAGAATCAAGAATGATTTTTTTGTTTTGATAATCGAGAAAGAGAGTCAGCTGTGTTTGTAGCACAATAAACCCAAGAGGGTCATGATCATTTAAAGTTTTTCTTTGTTTTGACTGTCTTCTGCCGCTTTTTATTGTCCAAAAGTTACAAACAACCTCACAAGCGAGTGAGTCATTGTGTTTTAGAAGCGCAGAGGCGTATTTAGTTAAGCTTAAAACAGAATGGTAGAGTACTTGAATAAGCTTTACGTGCGAAAGTCTCCAGTATTTCTTTTCCCTTCTTTTACAGATTCATATAAATTTTCTTTTACTTATTTTGCAACAGCGGCTGATTCTTGATGTTTTCGTTTAAAATTTTGGGCGGGGAATTTGTGCGCGACTGGCCAGATTGATCCACTCGCAAATGCCCAACGTTTGAGCGCTGATTTCAGTTGTTGTGCAGTTATACTGTAGAGTATAACTCAGAATGCTCAGCACCAACCACCCCAACTGCGTCTAATTTTAGTCACCAGGCCCCACACTTGCGACTGAAACTGCAAAGAAGAAGATTTGCAATGTGGCATTCGCCATCCCTTCTCGTCGCAAATAAGTCGATGTCTACGTCTAAGAGAAACTGAACATCTATTAGCTTATCACCATCGTTGACTATGCCTTTGTCGACTTCATTTAGCAATTCAGGCTCCGTTTCGTTCGTTCGGTAACCATATGCGATCCTTTAGCTATTTCTGCAGTCATATCCGTATCGCCACCATCGTCCATCAGGTCCACTTTTTGCGTCAACGTCATCCTAATAATCAATATCATCATTTATTTCAAAATCCTACTCCATATGCATTTTATTTGCATAGTCCTCGGAAACTTTTTCTCCTGGGTCATTTGCTTCGTAGTCTTCTTCACTACCGTTGTTGTTATCAGTAACTTGTTCCAAGCTCATATAGTGTTCGCCGTGGTTCTTAGCAAAATGTTCAAGGTACACGGTAGCTGCTAAATTGAACAGTTCCTGAAGAACTGAATACATGCTGCCCACCAACTCCTTGAGAGGACACTATTTGGATATCGATGTTGTACAAGTTTGCTGCTGCATACATTGTTATCTGATCCCCATAGGTCCCATCTTGGGCCATATGAGTTAAATGGTCGTCCCAGGAAGCGAACTCATCATCTGCCAAATGCTCCAGAAGAGGGAGTCCTTCGCTATCGCACGAATTATTTTCTAAGTACAATAAAAAATCCTTTCTTATGGTTTTAGTTCGACTTACTCCCAAAAAGTTGTCCCTCAGAGGGAAAGCCAGTATCCCCGTACCAGACCCTTTCGTTCTTTCAAATTCCTCAACCACTACTTTTTTCACCTCTGATGATTTTAACACCTCGTAATATAGCGCCTTATCACCATGGTCTTCTTTGACTAGTATCCTTTCGCCAGCTCTCCAGTATCGCATAGCAGCTGCACGCATTAAACAAGGTCGAGTAGGACTTCATAGACGTCATCTGCCAAAACAGAGGGCTTCCTGTTCCCTCCAGAGTTTTTATGATTTTTATGGGCCCTAGACCTATCCCACAATAGCGCTAGTAATGCTTAAACCATAATGGCTAAAATAGTAAATTTCATATTGAATCAAAGCAAGTATTAGCGTACTACATCAAAGAAAACTGCCGGAAATATTTCACAGGCTCGTGAAATGTTTTTCGCACTTATTACTATTTTTATCATTACGAATCAAGAGTTCGTTGCGATTTGAACTAAAAAATCTTTTCAAAGTCAGTTCAACCAATCGATACAACGTTAATGGGTAAATGTTTTGTGTTACTGCCAGCTAATTTGAAACGTAAAAGTTCTGCTCTTTACGAGCACGTCACTCTCATATTGCTCATTTAATAGAAGAAAAGTCCGTTTCAGAGTCAGGTTATGCTGTTTTATCAAATGCTTGATCGTTAAGGGGATCAGCAGGTCGAGCAAACCATGTTTCCTTTTTTTTTCTCTAAATAAATTCGTAGAGGATCAAAAAACGGCTTACAGGATTAGTTTTACTCACATCTCAGAGGAAGCAATAGCACAAATTTTTCGTGAGTTTTTGGGGACCTGACATCATTTACAGCCTTTGACATAAATAACCATTTTTAATGTGCTGATCAGCAGCTTCTTTTCATTTACACCTGTTAAATGTAAGTCACTGAGTATATAGTTTGATGCAGATCCATGCGTACCTATTTTGTTTGTTGGATTTGTTGCATGCATTTCAAGATCAATTATGTTCTCTTGGGGAGAAAAATCATCTTGTCTCTAGTCATATAACCACGAAAATATTCGAAAATCTGGAAGCAATAACTTTCTAGAGAGCTGTCACAAGGTCTGAATTGGGAAACGAAATGTGCATGCTAACAAGGTCTGGTCTAGAAAGTAAAGACAAAAAATTTATATCCGAGACTGCAGAATGTCCGACCTACAAGTCTGCAGATTCCTTGTCCAAGTTTGTAATTTGATTTACGACTTGTCAACTCCATCACTGATCACATGAGTATAACGTTATCATATTTTTCCAAACTCTATTGTACTTAAGAGTCTGAGCCAATGATATATGGATGTATTGGTCAGCCTACTCATAATTTTGCCAGCTGTCATTTGATACTGTCAGTATAACGGTCTCCAGCTAATGTTAGTCGACTTGCGACTAACAAGTAAAAAGAAGCTGATTGATATCAGTGAGACCGCAATGTGACATGAATACTGGTCAGAGGATTTTTTGGTGCAACAGCTGTCACTTTAACACCTCAATGAGGATGTCCGCTATAACAACAACGCACTAGCGCAGTCAAACGGTTGCATTGGAGGCTTATTACATTTAGGACCAAATGTTATTACATTTAGGACCAAGTGTTATTACATTTAGGACCAAGTGCTATTACATTTAGGACTTTATTGTATTAAGGAAAGTTATCACATTTAGGACTTAACATCGTACTCACTTTTTTATTTTTATCAAGGAACATGAAAAATACAGTGGGTCGGGCGGGTATATGAATTTTATTCCTCGTGCAGTACAGATATGGGCCTCATTCAGTGTCCTCTTTTCTTCTAGATGAAAAAAACAATTAACAACCCCAAGCTACAAAGGGAAACTGCTGTCATTAAATGCATATTATCGCTATCTACCTTTTGTTTTTTTGTTATTTTGAAGATTAAAGAGACATCATGAAAACCATAAGCCTGAAATTATGACAGTATGCAAATCCCAATTTATTAAAAGGTAGATCATTGGATAATGCAATTCAAGACTTTTTATTGGCTTAGCCATTATGGTATATCAACCAATATACCATAATCTACAAAAATGTCAAGCGTATTTGTCAGCTTAAAATTAAAAGGGAGCCCAAAATTCAATAAAATTTAATAATTTAATTTAACGTTTTTAATAAAACAATTATTCCACTCGCGCTTGTTGGATATGAGATGATTATAGCCAACGAGGCGCGCAGCGCCGAGTTGGCTATCTATCATCTCATATCCAACAAGCGCGAGTGGAATAATTGTTAAGTATTCCTTAGTAGGAGTTCGGCGGTCTTTTAGTTAGATGAATACTTTAGTTTCCCCCATGTAGCAATTGAGTTTAAAATGTAGCGAACGAGGTCCTCCTCTCATCAAAGTTAAAAAATCCAAAAATATCTTTGTCCATCATTTTATTATTTTCCATAGATTCCTAACACCAATACTAATCTGTTCAGGATAATGACTATATAAAGGAAGGAAAAAAATCATTTGACAGTGTAGTCTTTCTGTTAAAGAAAACGGAAGCCATGGAGTGACCGGTTTACGTTTTCGCTGCTCCTGAAAGGAAAACAGATGAGATCGCTGAGTTGAGATCAGTAAAGGCACGTAAAGGAACATAACGCGTAAGTGAACATAACAGTGATTGAGTGATCTGGGTTCGACACATTGTGTTGTGTTCTTGGGCAAGACACTTTACTCTCACAGTGCCTTTCTTCACCAGGGTGTTTAAATAGGTACCGGCGAACATAACGTTAGCCATAATGGCAAAGATAATAACAAAAACTGTAAGAATGGCAATGAAATTATAATGATGGCAATAATGATAAAGATAATTATGAGGATGATGTTGGAAGTGTCAGAGATCGTCGATGCCTCTGCTGTGCTGGTCCGCTTGTTGCGTTAACAGTTTTTTAATGGCGATAAAGGTTAATCTAATTCTTAGTCCAGTCAATCAGTCAGTCTGTCTGTCTGTCTGTCAGTGAAGCAATTTGCTAATCAGAATTAGAATCAGTAAGTTAGACAATCAGTGGGTTAGACCGTCAGTGTCCTCAATGGTAGAGGGCCGTCTTTGCACCAACATTTTTCATTTTTATCCCTTGTCTGAAATACTCACTTTCACATTTTTCTCCATGAAAAACCAGCTCACTCACAGTAGTACTTATCCGGATCATTAAAATGCACCACGCATGTCCCTCCGTTCTTGCACGTTACAGTATCGCACACGTTTGGGCCAGTGAACGCAGGTCTGAGTCTGTATACAAAGTTAGTTAGTGATGCACCCACCCCTCCCTGGCACTTGTCTGAAGAGGCCTCCCCATAGGTTTTATAGTTTTCAATTATGTTCACATCTGTACGACAGTCGCCAGAGTTCTGCACAGCAAAGTATTCATAGTCCATATCTCGGGCGAGGTGAGAGCATCTGATGACCATCACATATGGATTCTGTGCATCATATGAACTCGAAAAACTCCCAAACTTTATATTAAGCAATCGAGATGACTTTTTATCTTTAAAACATCCCAGACTAATTTGCTTTGGAAGTAACTCTGTAAGACACAAAGGGAATCGAAAAAAATTGCGTAGTTTTTGTCTAAAAACGAAAGAATGAGTTTACGAACCAACACCTATAATGACATATGTTTCACCTTACTGCTTAGCTAAAGCCTATGATTCTTAGAATTCTTGACAGTCAAAAGTGTATGTCAACGCATAAGAACCGTTCGGCAAAATCAAATAATAGTCAGTTTTAATCCTCCGAGAACATGATGTCGCCATTAGGTCCGGTATCCTTAAAAAATAGCCCATTAAATTGAATAATTATGAGTTTTGGGTATAGGACATCCCACTGTAAATGAACAGTTGCAGTATGTAAGAGAAGTGACCATTATAACCAAAAAAATAACATGAAAACTATATATATTGTACCTCATTACTATAAAGAGCCACAAACCTTTTTATGAATTTGATAAAGGGACTTTAGTCGTCGATCCCTACAATACATTATTGTTTGGTGACTTTTTTTTTGGTACTTTGGTTTTTTTGATAACCATGCAGCGATATCAGTTGAAGTCCACATTGACATAACCTTATTTTCATCATTTACCAGTGACTTACCAAATGTATATACAGCATTACGTTTATTAATACCGATGCCATTCAGGCAGTTGCTATCACTGGTGGCACCTTGTTTGTGATATTCATCGCGTGCGTTCGGTCCTGACCGACATAAGCCATTATATCCCAGTGCAAAGAACTTGTAGCCTTTATCAAAGGCCAACTCAGCGCATGCGCTGATAACCTCCTGCTGCTTGTTATCTACGACTTGAGACTTGAAGTCATCGAGTATGTCAGAGAGGAAACTGGAACCAGTATTAAAGCAAGCGATTTTGCTAAAGACAGGGACTGCAAAAAAGGTTGCATAACACATTGATAACTTATGATTGGGATTAGTAATACTTAGCCTCTCAATATAGAAATCAGAATGAGATCCGTGGATGAGAGCCACTACTTCTCGTTCGCAGACTTCCTACCTGTGTTGAACGATTCAATATATACTAAAACGGTAGATACCGTTGAAGGCAAGTCTTAAGTCGTAGATAACAAGCTCTTATTGACTGTTCAGTCTCCGAATATCCTTTGCTATTCACCTCCGAGCAACGCGTGCGGGATTTATTCCCGAGGGATTTGTAATCGTTGCAGGATTAAATGAATTAAAATCATGTTTTGCCGCGATATTACATGTCACTGTTTTATTACATACTAAAATAACTATTCACCTCATTGTCAATGACCAGTGTTTGATTTCAACTCGCCGCTTTTGACACTGAGGAGAATAATTGTTTTGGTATACAAAAATTTGTTTGTTTCAGTCAATTTAGCGAATTAGTCCGAGATCAAACTCTTGACGCGAGATTTTGCCTCTTCCCGCGGCTCGGGAGTGAATATTACTCGCTAATCACGTCCGAAATAGTTAATTAAGTTTGCGAAAAGCGCTATTCCCATGTGTGGTATATGAAGATTACTTCGTGGAAATGCGCGCGTACGATTTTTATTCACGAGTTGATGAGCAATATTAAAAAACGAGGTGAGCGAGGCGAACGAGTACGGTTTCTGATATGTATCAATGAGTGAATAGCAATCGTAGGCTTTCATTCTGCAATGTACTTATACCATATTCTCTTGGTTTATATATATTGAGCCGACACATAGAACAGTATTCGCTCACCTTCGAGTGCTAGCGTAGGAGCAAATAATGAGATAATGGGGAAATGTTCCAAAATTCTTTTGGTACAAAAACTCCTACAATTTTAGCTTGATGTATAATACGTTGCTTTAAGTTATAGCGTAAAGCAGGCAAATTGTCATCACTTTCTGCTTGTTTTTTCACTGTTAGAAAGTATGTAATCAGTGTACTCTTTAGCGAATCAAAACGATTAGTAGCTTCCTACCTTGACAGTTTTTCCCGCTGTAGCCGCCAGTACAGTGACAGTGATACAATGAAACATCTCCATTGTCATTCGTACAGGTGGCCCCGTTCACACAGGGTTTGCTGTCACACGGGAACAGTCGAACTAAAAAAATAGCTGAGGCATGTTTGTATACCACATCTATTTTTATTTCATTAAGACTACTTTTTACTAGAACGGTGATCAATCAAATGATAGGTACCATGCCTCTTTGACAGACTACCGCATTAAAAGATAGTAAAGCATCAGAAAAACTTTGCCAAGGAAGTAAATGATACAGGGCCATTGGCTACCAATTTATTTTTCATGGGGTCCATTACAAGAATTCCTGGACGTCACTCACCGTGTCCGTGATAGAAAGTATCTATGCATAAAAAAACAAAAAAAAACAAAACACTTGAACTTGCCTTGGCAATTCGTTCCTTTGAACCAGTCTCCGCAGTCACACGAATATTTGTCCGGCCTGCTGGAAGAGCTTGAACATAACCCTCCATTTAGACACGGTTTATCAGTATCGCAAATCGTTTGAGCCACTAAAACAAAGAGCGCAAGATATATTTCTTGATGAGTATAATACAGACGTTATTGTATTGTTAAAGGGCTTTTCGACTAAGTGTCATAAAAGCCAAACTAAAGTAATTATAACGGTCAAACAGAAGAAAGGGAAATGCCATAAAAAGCGAAAGAAAACTTTTAAGTACAATCAAGCCGACTACATAAAGAGCGAGAAAACTTGGGTGACCGAGTGGTGACGGGCTTAAGTTTTGCATCCGATTGACTGAGAGAAGCGCAAGTTTTCTAGACCAATCACAGAGCGAAGTAAAGTAAAACCAATGTAATCCCAGATTACCTCCAACACTGAATTGAAAACTAAGCACAGCTTAGTTCTCGATACCTTTTCAGATTTGGTCTTCATTCATCTTGCTTTTACCCGATATCCTTCATTTCCGGCACTACAACAACATGGGCCGTTAATTTACTTACCTTCACAGTTAGTCCCAGTAAACCAGTCTGCACATTTACAGTTGTATTTGGAGATGTCTTTAGGATCGTTGTTACAAGTGGCACCATTTAAGCAAGGTTTGCTGTCGCACGGGTAAATTTGAACTGTGGAAAGTAATGAAAATATCGATATCAGTGTTTTTAGGCAGCGGAAGAATTTGCGAATAGCTCATTGATGGATCGTTTATAAGTTCATTAACTGAGTTTAAATTTTTTTATTTATAAAACTGAGAAGATACTGTTTTCCCCTGTATGGTAAATAACTCCTAGTGTAAAACTCTCAGAATCAGCAAATGCCAGTAGTCATTCTTCTCTATCTTTTGAACCGTTCCCGCTCTCCAACTGTTTATTTTGGCTTCTTTGGTGCTTTGTAAACTTTGTAGATGTTTGGTTTGGCGCAATAAGTAAGGCTAACTATCGCGTTGCCTATTTTAAGATCCAGGCACCAAATCATGAACGCCTTTACTTTTTGTTGGTCTTTCCTTTTGTCCACTTTTGAATGTCATTGTAGTTTTTTTATCGCTCTGGTGAAATGTGTCAATGAAAAGAATGTTTTGTAATTTATTGATGCTAGTATTTAAACTTAAGATTCAACGTTTTCAGTTGATAGAGGTATATTTTAATTTATTTATTTTTTGCTCTATGGAGGCAGTAGTTCGTTCTCGCAATCGCAATTTAAAATTGCATTTAGTGCAACCTAAAGTAAATTTAGGGACAAATGCAAATACTCTTCGCTTGACTAATCTATTTAATTGTTTTTTATCGTTAAATAGGTTGTGGTTTTTCATCGTGGTAAATAACACTTTCAAAAGAGAGGCGTAATCGTTTGTGGATGTAATTCGGATATAGATCGATGTGATCATGGGTGCATCCACAGATCAGGTTCGTTTTGCTGTCCGTTGCTGCACGGCTCTCCTGTTGAGTAATTCCTTTCTCTATTTTTTTGGTAAAAAATTTGTGTTTTGTAACCTTATGTTTCGTTTTAGCCGTACTTTAATCGCCTGACTGCAAAAAGAGCGGCTACACAACTCTGTACTAATGTAAAACATGTAATACAAAGCCATAGTCTCGAAGGCAATTTATTGTTTTCGACATCGTTTTCTTCATCCAATAACTGTCTGCATAATGAGGTGATGAAGCTCAGTATGCGGAAATCTTACTGAATCTTAAATAAAGGCGAGTTGAATGCTATCGCTGGAGGATTCCCTTACGGTGATTACATCTCTTCATTTGGTAATTTTAAATAGGATGTGGTAAGGGGTAACTCTGAACAAGAAATGAGTGGAAACCACTGAGAGACGGAAATAAAAGGAAGATGATAGAATAAACATAGTTCGCATCGTCTGTTTGGTCAATTCAGTATCCATTTGGGTTATCAATTACTAGCCGAAGGCGAGGGATTTATAAGCTTTCTTCGTGTTCCTCCAACATTCTGCGTGGCTTTATGACGTTTTAGTATAATTTCAGAGCTGAGCAAAGAGTTTCCAGCAATCTGATTGGTCGAGCGGTTCCTTATATGACGCTATATAAACCGCTCCAGGCGGTTTGTATAAAATGTTAAAATAAAATGTTAATAAAAGTTACTAAAATGTTATGACTTTAGAAATTTCTCTGTTGTTCAGCTCTGAAATTATACTAAAACAATTATTCGCCTCAGGTTCGGTGAAGATTGTCTAATAATTTCCTCGACTTCGTCTAGGGAATTATTCGACGATATTCACCTCGCCTTCGGCGAATAATTGTGAAATAGTGCCTGGAAAATGTTTCTGAAATAGAGACGGAGGAAGAGGCCAACATTGTCTCTTTTCTCCCAATTCATCTCCACACTACTCACTTTCGGCAAAGTTGAGGATTTTTGCCACAATACTTAAGGAAGAACAATCCTACCTTCGCAATTATTTCCCTTGAACCAATCGCCACATTCACAGTGGTACCTGTTCGGATCACTGAAATGCACCACTCATAATCGTTCGTTCTTACACGGTACAGTATTGCACACGTTTGGACCAGTAAACACCGGTCTTAGTCGATATACATAATTGGTGAATGATGCACCCACCCCTCCCTGGCACTTATCCGACAAGGCCTCTCCATAGCTTTTGTAGTTCTCGACTATTTTTGGATCTGTTCGACAATCACCGGAGTCCTGAACTGCAAAGTATTCATAGTCCATATCTCTGGCGAGGTGGGCGCAACTGATGACCATCTCGTATGGGTTCTTTGCATCATACGAGCTTGAGAAACTCCCAAACTTTATATTAAGAAGCCGAGCTGACTTTTTTTCTTTAAAACATCCCAGACTAATTTGCTTTGGGATTAATTCTGTAAGAGAAATTAGGAATGAACAAAAATTATTCTCCTTCTTTTATTCCGGTAAGTACGGTGCAATGTATGTTGTGCTTAATTTTCTCAAATTCTTTTCACTATTTTGCCATTTTGAGCTTATTGCCATGCAGGCGACTGATTTTTCGTTAATTGATTCATACATTCAATCGCATATCTTTGTTGTTTCATTGTTACTTTTCTCTCTCAGGCGTCTCCTTGATCATATTAGCTATTATCCATCACAAACTTATTTTTTTTCCGCAGTTTTTCATTGTAGTCTCACTTTTCCAGATTTCTCCTCGATGATGTGATCATGTCATTCATTATCAATGTGTATATTTTTTTAAATTTCGAACAGCTATTATCGAAATGGAACCTACCAAACGTGTACACAGCAATACGTTTATTAATACCAATGCCATTTGGACACTTGCTATCACTGGTGGCGCCTTCTTTGTGGTACTCATCACGACCGTTCGGTCCTGATCTACATAAGCCGTTATATCCCAGTGCAAAGAACTTGTAGCCTTTATCAAACGCCAACTCAGCGCATGCGCTAATAACATCCTGCTGCTTGTTATCTGCAACCTGGGACTTAAAGTCACCGAGTATGTCAGGGAGCAAACTGGAACCAGAGTTGAAACAGGCGATTTTGCTGAACTTGGGTACTGAACACATTTTAAGAAAAAGAATGCTCAATATAAATTCTTAATTAAAATGTGATATGCAAATGAATGAATAAACAAAGATAGAAATTGCAGCACCAAAAGGCTGGAGAACACGCTTTCATCAGTTTGCTGGGCGATTGTGGATTCATTGAGCTCTTAAAGGAGCTCCATATCCTATACCGTTCGCAGGGCGATTGAGGATTCAGGTAGCTCTGAATAGAGCTCCCGATCATTAACAGTTTGCTGGTCGACGCACGCCTTCATGACTTAACTTAGTCTGCAAAGCGAGTGTTTGACAGCTGATACACGTTGCGTTTTTAAAATTCGCGGCAATTGTGATTACTTTTACAAGCGAATGAGTTTCAACGATGGACACTGTATTGTTTGACAGGTGTATTATTATTCAAGGCTAAAATGACCTTTATACGAAAAATGACCTAATTTTGTGTATTTTTGAGTGCAAAAGGATTATACTTCGTAACAAAAATATTTAGTACAATTTGTAGATTCATCTTTAATCTTCCAAAACCGTCCGTTGATTTATAAGTTAGCACGTCTAAAACTCAAGAAGTTAGTTTTGGGAAGCCTAATGGGCCAGTTTTGGTCCATATTTCTCTAATGTAAGGCTCTTTAAAGCGAGGTCGCGTTCAAATTTGTTGCTTTATCGGCTATGTATAATTAATGATGTCCACGTATTCTGCAATAACAATTTACAGCAATACATGTAACCAAACTTATAATTTGTGTAACAAAACAATGTGCCTATTCAACTGGTATTTTTTTAAAAATTCGTACCCTGACAGTTTTTCCCGCTATAGCCATCAGAGCAGTGACAGTGATACAGTGAAACATCTTGATCGTCATTACTACAGGTGGCTCCGTTCACACAGGGTTTTCCATCACATGGATACCTTTGAACTGAAAAAATTAAGATTCCATGAGTGCTTGCTGACGTTTTCAGCAAATAGATGCGCCCTGGTCGTGAGGATATTGTTGATACGCGTTTTGAAAAATTGTGGAAAATACACCGCACAAGAAATGGAAATGATTCATAAGTGGTCTGAGTGGAAAATAAAAAAGGTAAAAAAAATTACGCCACAAAAACATTTTAAAAAATCATGATAAATGATTGGAGGCTTGCAATAGTTCCTTTACAATTCGTGAAATATGATTCATGGAGGCGTCAGGGAAATTACCTCGAGAAAAACAAACAAACAAACAAAAAACAAAGATCAACTATTATTTCTAGTTACCCTCACAGTCTTTTCCAAGGAACCAGTCACCACATTCACAAGTGTACTCTGCAGGTTTATCTGAACTGCTTTTACAAGTCCCTCCGTTCTTGCACGGATTAGCGGCGTCACATATTGTTTGTTTGTCTAGAAAGTAAATACGTCAGTTTCATTTCTTCCTTTTTTCCATTTTCTTGGTTGATAACTGGTGCCGAAGGAAAGATCTGTTTGTCATTTATTAGTGCATGATTTGAAGTAGGGAAAGACATCCAAGAGCACTAAAAATGTTGTTGGAGGAATGACAAATGATGCACAACGAATAGGAAGAGGGCATAGGGATAACTTTAAAGAGAAACGAGTAGATATGTGACCATGATATAATTATTTTGTTCTGTTCCGTCTATTTATCTTAATTGAAATAAAAGACTGTTTGCACAATATCTTTGTTTGAGCAAGAGTGCTCTGAACTAGCCAAAACAAAGTGTTCACCTTTTTACGAGTATAGTGGATTAGTTAGAAATGCGGCTACTATTGAACAGTTCATTGTCACTAGATACAGTACTGTTACCTTGGCATTTGTCCCCAACAAACCATTGGGGACACTTGCAGTGATATTTTGAGATGTCGCTTGGATCGTTTCTACATAATCCACCATTAAGGCAAGGTTTGCTATCACATGGGAAGATTTGAACTGTAAAGGGGAAAAAACCAAAAATCATTACTAATGCAAATATATACTATCGGGTCGTAAGGCCAACATCAGATGACCATCTGGCCGAAGGGGAATTTTCACCGTGACATCGCTTAGTAAAAAGTACTGAGGCAAGGAGGTAATGATTGCAAATAAGAAGTTTTTCGAACGTGCCGGTTGTCTTATACTGTTACACTTTAACTGAGAGTGTTAAGTCACTATGGAGCCTATCTTGGCTTTCATAGCTTTCACAGCCCAAAGATGTTAGTCAATTGCAATTAACCCCCTGTCGAACTGACCTCACAATCTGTTTTCGGATCGATTTCTTTTCCTCGATGAAAAGAGACATTGAGAGAGTGAAGTGTATTGCCGAAAAACGCAACAAAATTACCTGGTAAGGGCTCGAACCTGAAGATCTCGACCTAGATTGCAAGGAATTATCCATTTAACCACCGTATCTTTTTTTAAAATGTTTACATAGCCACAAGCAAAGTGAAACGACATAGCTTGAGGAAAACGATGACTATACTAACATACGTTCAAGCCTTGGTATCCATTTCATCCTACCTTCACAATTTTTTCCCTTGAACCATTCGCTGCAAGCCCATTTATACTTAGATGGTTCGGCTAAATCACTACTACAGTAACCATCGTTGACACAAGGGCTGGAATCACATGCAGTCGACAAAACTAACGAATGGAAAGGTTAGTAACACGTCATAGCTTATCATGACGGCTAAAGGAGAACAAATAAGAGACTCTCGGTGTGAAGAGACCACAAAATCAATCAGGATTAATCCAGGAATTTATTCATTTCTCTAAAAATTGGGGATTTTTCGGATTGTTCTAGCGAGCGAGAGCTATGGTGATTTCAAAAATTGAAAATATGGACAAAAATTAAAATGGTTGATTGATGTCGCGTTGTGGAAAAAATAGATTCAAATGTAAGTCTCACCAACCTTCACAGTTAGTTCCAGTTATCCAGGAAGGACATTGACAATGATATTTTGAAGCGTGTTCCTTGTCATTTACACATACACCATCGTTGTAGCAAGGGCTGCTGTCGCATGCATAATTCGGCACTAACCAGTAATAATAGGAAGTATTAGGTCTTTTAAACCCTTCTCCTCTTAAACGAGTAGATGTCCCATTGCGGTTAACTCTAGGCAATTCCTCAACCTTCTCTGATGGTTTTTCGGTATCACTTTATACTACAATTTGAAAGTCACAAACCTTGTCCAAGAACGCAACGCTATAGATTAGAATGAGCTCGATCTTGATGATTTACCTTGGCAAGTGTATCCAAGAGGTGAATTCACGTCAGGAGAACAGGTTTCTTGACTGAAACATGGATTGCTATCACAAGGATTGATCTTAACTGTGGAAAAATGAAGTTCTTAAGTTTCTACGGAATTTTCCTTAACAATCATTCGTTAGTTTCTATAATTAGTCTTTGCGTAGACTCAATATAGAGAATGCATTTATCATGAGCTTTAATAGGTCTGTCATGCTACCTACATTCGACCTCTGCCTGGCTTCGCTTTCAATTTTTGATTTTCATTTAGCATTTCTTTTAGTTCATAACATTCAATTTAAAATTGTTATGCGACTAGAGTTTCCCTAAAAGTTTAAATAATGATAAATAATTAAAAAGGAACATCTCAAACCTTCGCAATATGAGCCAGTAAAACCAGGCTGACACAAACATGGGTGGTTCACAGAGTTGCCAGTACAAATTCCTGCATTCTTACAAAGGTTCACTTCATCGCAAATGCCTTTTCCTGTTAAAACAATAAACTTATTTGGACTTAAAAGTACAACGGTACGCACTAAAGGAAATTTTCAAAATATACGGTTTATTCATTTTTAACATCTCTTCCTTTCCCCCTAAGAGGTTCTTCTCGTGGTCAATCTCTTCCACTTTTTACGAGATTAGTTTAAGACTGAGATCAAGATGTTTTTTGTTCAATTAGATCATGCTAGGAAACCAAGCAGGGTTGAATCTCTCTGTGTATTTTTTAACAGATGGTCCTTATTTCTTTGATATTAGGACTACATCTAGAAGTTTCTCCTTAATTAAAAACAAGGGCGACGTTGTGACCAAATGAACTACAGATCAGGTCATTTTCGAGTGTCACGCCAATAAGTATAGTCTACAAACGGAATTATTTTAAGCAGCCTGAGTTCATCCACACTTCTACAGCAAGAGGCATCTTCTAACAGCAAACTCGTCTAAATGGTATGCCATTTATTGACCAATTACCCTTTACCTTCCGTCGATTTCGTGCGGAAGCAAACTAAAGCCTGGCATAGATGGTTTTTAGTCAAGTTAGTGGAGAAAAGCACTTTCCCACAAAACACAACGTAGACAAGGACCTCATCCAAGGTGCTAACCCGACCATAAATGTAGATCATAGGTATATGACGTCAGCCATTACAGTATCGTATTTCCATTATTTTCGAGTTAACTGACCGTTCGAGTTGCCATCAGCAGGACAAGGAATGTTAACGTGACAGGCCAGTTGAATGGCGGGCTTATTGGGCCGATAAGCGCAGTCGAGATCTGACACTGTTGATTTTTCCCCACTTTGGTCGAGTTTTTGACACACCACTTGTCTGGTCATAATGCCTGGCTTGCAGGTGGTGGAACACTGTAAAAGGGGAAGAAACGGAAAGAAATCGGTAATGTAATGACATAGGTTACTTTTAATACTGATTGTTTCTCTCATAAAACTACCTTTTGTGCGTAAAGTTGGGCTATTATTGTACATGTCCTTCAAACAGTGTGGTCCCAAAGACAGACATTTTCCAATCTGTTGTGGTGGAATTACATGTCATAGAATAACAGGGCCTCTTTCCGCTCTATCCTGATCTGAGAATACGATCCATGTCTGGATACCTTGAGATACTAAATACCTCGTTGACCGCCCTAAACCTTAGGGAACAAGCTGGCGAGACCGAAACTTTCGCAGAGAGACCTCCAAATTGATTTGATGAACAATCTCAGATTTTTTTTTGGTATAGAAAGAAATTAGGGTCCGTGTACATCTTACCTTGGACCAGGTTGACTCCACTACCCACTCAGCGGGACAATCGATCTCATTGCAATATCTTTTTTTCGAAGAAAGAACTGGTTTAGTTTCCGCTGGACATTTTGAATTTCTTACGACCACAGTTTTCGACTTTACTTCCTGCTGACAGATCACTTTGCGTGTTTGTATACCTCGGCCGCACGTTCTTGAACAAGGCGTCCATTCTTCAACGTGCCATCTGTATACAAAGATTATTAAACAAATGCACAACTAGCGTGAATTCAGAGTTCAATATCAATGTTAAATTATAAGTAATAATCTGGTGTCAGCATGAGAACGAGTTTTCTTGCATGGAAGTCGAGGGCGATTTTATCACGGTGAATCATAATCAGGCTTCCATTCAAACCAGCTTACAGATGAAGTGGGCCAGCCTGGTTAAATAGTTCTTATGGATAAATAAATTTTCACTTAGTGAGGATATTTAGTACAAAGAATTCTAGTCGGATGTTTTCCAGTAATCTTTGGGACACCATCGGAGGAAGTTGCTAATCCGATCATTTTTTGGTAGAAGTGTAAGAGCTATGAGCCATCTTAAGCGATCAACTTCAGTTCGTACTTAGCTTCACACGCTTGGGTGTTGCATTTCTGGGTGCTTGCTGGTTTGACGAGTGAGCCACAAGCTTCATCAGAGACAATAGAAGCATTTTGTGCGAGGAAACAGAATACTTCTCGAGTTTGTATACCTATGAAGACAAAGTTATGATTCATGGTGCTTTTTCTGTAAAAAAAATTTCGTTATCAATCACCTTATCGGGTTCCGCATTAACTACATTTAAATTTGATGCCTACTAATCGCTGAAATCATCAGCGAAACTCTTAGTTGAGATTGGACTGTACTGAAATGAATGGAAGATAACTGAAGATACTTTTCTTTATATTTTCATGCCTTTCTATTCGCAAGATATTCTACTTAAATTAGTTCCTTTCGCTGTCTGTCATTTTCTAAAATTAATTGTTGTTATGCATTTTACACAACCAAGAAAAGAAGAGATTGATTTATTAATGAAATAATGGAGGGTAGGATATATCTAAATTCTTACCTCCTCCGCAAGTCGTAGAACATGTTGACCAATGCGAAATCGGTACCCAGTGGTAGAGGAGATTTTCTACAGACTCACTAGGCTGCAGCGGTCTTTTCAACATATAGTCTACTCCTTGGGTCTGTTCATGTACTCTTAAGAACTAATTAACAAACGATGAGTAAGCGACTGAGGCTCAAGTTTAATCGTCTTCATCTATGAGAATATACGGTTAAGAAGAGACTTTATATGGCTGTTTTGCTTCCGAAAATAGTTTGACAGTCTCTTTCATTCATTGGCTAATTATGGAAGTGACAGCCCAACGCATTTATTGCAATTATGGACCGGCTAACTAACTGACTGTGCGACTGACCGACTGGCTGACGGGCTGACTGGCTTGCAGAGTGACCAACTCGGCTAACTGATTCTGAGGTAGCTGACTGACCGGCCACCTTATGACTAAGCGACTGACTGACCGTCTAATAGACGGGCTGACTGGCTGACCGACTAACCCGCTGACTTTGTGAGTGGCTGATTGGCCGGCTGGCAGACTTGCTGACCTGATGCAACTTAACCCGATACGAAAGACGGACTGATATACGTCGGATGAGTGTTTTGACTAGTGTAGGAATAGATGGATGGACTGTTGACCTTATCGATTTCGTGATGTAGGTGATAGAAATGAAATTCACGAATTCAGGAGTAGATAAAGGAACAAACTGCTTGATTATCATACCACAACTTTCAGTGTCTCAGTTGTAGGTCCACGAATCTCCAATGAATCTCTATATCGCATTTCCGCGTGTTTGTATGTTATTGTAGCTCCAGCATATTCTATTGTCTTGGAGTAGGTATAAGGCACATTTATGAGGTAGTTTCCATACACATCTTGAATACCTGAGAAACGCCATTATAAAACTGATTTATAAATGAAAACAAAATCAACTTTTTCCGAAAATGTTGATATATCAAAACATATTTTTTTAACTAGCTCCTTTAATTTGTACTATTCAACATAGTTTAGGGCTACGTTGTCCTCTTACTTACCTAATACATTGTAGGACCTCCCGATTTTCTTTCTGAAGTAGGCGTAAACTGTGCCAGGGGGAAGTTTCTTAATCAAGGCTGACTCGTTTACGTCTGCAAAGAAATTTACTCAGGTTCGCAACGCTTTCGAAAATTATTTGAAAAGCAGGTTTGGAAAGGGTTACTTTCATACACGATAGGAAGTGATGCCCTCCACGTGAGGGAAAAAAGAGTAAAATGCTGATAATGATAATTAAAGTTCCTTTTAAAGTAATAATGGTGATGATCATGATAAAGACATCGACGAGGACAATTGACATTTTTTTGCCAGGAAGGAAAAGTGAGACTTCAAAGATCTCGAGTACATCAACTTTCCACATGAAAATATCATCTGATTTTCTCTTACTCTCCAGAAAAGCAAAACATAAAAGGAGGAGGTTCAGGAAAAGATGAGAGAAAATGAGAAAATATGCAGATGGAGCTGGAAATGTTACTTATAGTTCATTGCCATAGTCCACCTTGATGTTCTGTTCTTACGTTCTATCTTTTCCGTAAAACTACCCATCTCATCTTTACAGGAATCTGCCTTTCCACCACATTTTTCACATTTGTCGAACCTTTTCCTTGAGTGCATCAGATGATCACAACCTACAGGCTGGGGATAGCATAGAGATAATTAGCGTAATTAGCCATAGACTACAATTGTGGCAAAAGTAGTTGACACGCTTCTCCTTGGTAGGTGGGTGACAGCCCTCCATTCAAAATAAACAGAAATCTAGTCATTCATCTCTTACAAGTTACTTGAAAGTCCCTTTTATTCCTATGAAAGTAACGTATATTTTGTTAACACGAGGCAGCATTGAAATGTTTTTTTGGAGGGGGAGGGGATGAACAAAAGTTATAGAAAAAAACTAGAAAAGTTGGAGAGTGTGCTAAGACTTCCACTTACTGCAGTTCATTCTAATGGGGAGATAGACGGGGAGTTGAGTACCAAATACAAATATACCTCACGTTTCCCTTTAATGCAGACATCATAAACAAGTTCATTTTGTGTTGCTTGAGTTCCATCCTTGACTCGTCCTTGTCTTGAGACCTTGCTACCAATTCGGCAGTAAAGTCCACAGAGATCTGGACAGGAGAATGAAATCAAATTTGAATTCATCGCATTAAGGCTGAACGGACTGGTAAGAAGCAAAATTTGAACTTTACTTAGCTAAGCTATTTTAATTGTAACTGAATTTGTTGCTAAATTTAACAATACTTATATGAGAACGATCCTTCGCAGTAAAGCACTATTTGAGCAATAGTGAAAATCAGACCTGAAAAAAATTTCAGGCCTGTACGGGATTCGAACCACTGACCTCTGCGATACTAGTGCAGCGCTCTACCAATTGAGCTAACAAGCCAACTGGGAGCAGGCCATCAAATTAATTCGACATAAACCCGTAGATGATAAATCAAACGACAACAAATTTTTTTCAGGTCTGATTTTCACTATTGCTCAAATAGTGCTTTACTGCGAAGGATCGTTCTCATATACGTCTCATAACCGCAGTTCACACATATGTTTCATATGTTTGTTGTCGTTTAACAATACTTGCCGGACCCTAAGTAGTACGGCACAAAATCCTGATTGTACACCTTGCATTGCATCTCTCTGTAAGAAATCGTTTCGTTGGCACAAGGCTAAAAGAGAAAGAAACAATCATACTAGAGTAATTTTAAATCAAGGTTCCCCTAACTATAAACAAATAGCAGTGCTCCTTTTTTTGTTCCGTTTAGCCAGGATAGAAAAAGTTAGCACATTAGTTAACCTCAAGAGAATATAGACAGTTTCTAATCTCTTGTTAACCATCACGACTGAGAGTGTTCAATCTTAGAATCAAGAAGCTGATATTTTCAATGGGTTTATAAGAAAACGCTAAACTTTTGGAAGAAAAGTCCTCTGGTTTTTCCACTCGTCGCTGCCTTCTACTTGAGATCATTTTTTGGTATGATGCATCTGCTACATACTCATTCACACGTAAGCATAAAAATGTCTCAAAATTGAATGGAGTAAATAATATGTTGAACAAGTTAGTTTACCCTAAATTTGCAAGTTCGCCAACCACCAATGTTTGACCCGTCACAGTTCTTTCCCCCGTACTTTGGCCTGATACAGCGTGCAAAAGTATGAACCATAAAAAAAATAGAGAGTTATTCATGATCTGTTATTTCTGACTGAGAAGTTCGTTTAATAAAAAAACTGTGACAGAAGTCTTGAAAATGCTGCCGGGGGCCACATGCTGAAGACAGCACTTTCAAGTCTGATATCAAGGTTTTTCACATTAGGGGACCTGATACCGGTAAATAACCCACATATCTGTCTCTCCTTCAAAAATCAATTTTGTTATTGTTGACCTTGTCTACAGCGTACCCGGCGGAAAATGTAAGTGAAGCAGCAGAAATTGGGAATCCAGACCCCGCAAGAATCAAACCAGTGCAGTTTTTCTGTTTAGTGGCACATGGCAGAAGACACCGAGAACGCTACAGACACTAGCATGAGGATTGCAGGTTATTTTTTAAAATTTCTTTTTAAATTAATACTAAATATTAGAAACATTTCTTACGTAGGATTAGTGCATGTCCTTGTCCTGTGCTGTACCCCTCCCCCACAAGACCGAGTGCACGGGGTATAAGTTGACCACTTACTCCACCCCCCATCAATGCGTGCACGTCCATTGTCGATGCATTCTCCTTTAATGCACCACTGGTGAAACAAAATTGAAAATTAGCTTTAATATGAAGAACGTCTTATCGATGAAAGGCCGCTTAATCTAACATATGTACGTACGTTCCTTGGTCCGCAACTTGTACCATCTGCAGCCGGAACCCTTCGGGATATACATGAATAGCCATCTGAAGTGCAGTATAAAGTGCAGTGTGTCTTAGAAAAAATAGGAATAAAAAACAGTGACATGTGTTTCACATATTTTAATAAATTATCTATCTATCTATCTATCTATCTATCTATAAGTAGGCAACAGAGGCCAAATTAAACCGCCCACAAAAATTACAGAATAAAATGATTTTAAGAAACCTGACATATAGACTAACCAAAAAATATTGTAATTCAGAGGATTCATAGATTTAAATCGATGTGAGAAATCTAGTTCTCCAATCAATAAAGACCCTATCTTCACCCTCCGTTGGCTGCAACGCCTGTACGCTTCCCCATAGTGACTTTTGCACTGCATGTCTCCATCCATAATCTCACCAGGGAGGTGGAGTGATAAGTCGGCTACATTAGGAGATGGAGTGGGAAGAATTTAAGTCGGCTCATCATCCAGACACGAGGACCCGCTGCTTCTGCATAAAGAGCGTTAGGGAAATAATAAAAGTTGTATTACATATTTTTAGTATAATTTCAGAGCTGAGCAAAGAGTTTCCAGCAATCTGATTGGTCGAGTGGTTCCTTATATGACGCTATATAAACCGCTCCACGCGGTTTATATAAAATGTTCAAATAAAACGTTAATAATTGTTACTAGAATGTTTTGATTTTAGAAATTTCTCTGTTGTTCAGCTCTGAAATTATACCAAAACAATTATTCGCCTCAGGTTCGGTGAATATTGTCGAATAATCCCCGAGACGAAGTCGAGGGGATTATTCGAAGATATTCACCGAACCTGAGGCGAATAATTGTTAAATATTTGTGTTAGTGCGTTATATTTCCATAAAAGATGCTACTAACTAGATGTAGTCTCGTTACGTAAGCAACCACCCTTGCTACGTTTTGGAGTAAGTAACCTTTTTGATGCTAAAAAGTATCTTGCATGTGGACCATAGCAGCTAAATAATGGCCGTAGAGTCATTGTTAAGGAGGACACTAGGGTGGTTGCTTTTATCTATTTGGATGATCGAAGAATTAATAATACCAAGAGCTGATAGGAAACAACAAATGGATTAAAGATACCTAAATAGAATTGTTCATAATGGATGGCAAACTATTATTGAAAAAATGAACTGAGGAATCCTTTTGTCCCTGTATTACAGAAGAAATATTCGTTCAGACAGCCCTGAAACTCCCACAGCATCGTTGTAAATTGTCTAGCAATCATGAGAGAGCGCCTTGTTCTCAAAGCAGAACCTACCTTACTGTATGCATTTCCTCACTTACGTAAGTTGGAAATAAGTACATTTTTTATGTAAAATAAGAGAAAAATATCAAGCTTTAACTTCGAGCTAATGAATACTCGTTTTTTGAGAACTAAACATTTGGTACTGAACACAGTGACTACCTGAGAAATGCTTGCATTTCTTCCGCACTACAGGTGGACCATCTCATGGCATTAACTCCATTGGGGAGGACTGCAGCCATAAGATACGTGCTCCCCTGACACTGGTTCTCACTACCGTCATGATCCAGGCCAAAACTATAGAAAAAAAATTTTAAACAGTAAGGGCGGGCATTAATTAGGAATATGCTCAATTATGTCATATTTCAAAAGGGATCACCTTAAAAACAAGCTATACGGCCTTGTCGGCGTTCATGTTATGTTTTACTAAAATTGACATTTTTTTTCAGAAGAGGTTAGTCATGTATTCGGTATCGACTGCCATGTAGATTCCGCGATGTAATAAATTAAACTAGAGAGCAGTTTTTACTAACCACGGGCAAAGGAAGTGGATAAAGTGAGTGATGGAGCTATATCGACATCACAGCTTACTTGTGGCCAGTTTCATGAGCAATTATTCCAGCAGATTGCAGTCCCAAATCATTGTTTACGTTCACTGTTCCATCTTCATTTTTGCACATCGATTTGAAAGGTGCGAGCCCTGCATGTGTGGAAAAAAGTTTAGTGCACACATCATCACCACAAATAGGAGCTTGATGGACTCCACAATAGTACCATAATACAACCTGTTTTAAGAACCGTAAGTGATTGCAGCATCAGTTTAGGAAAGAACAGCTAACCCTAAAGGCTGGTTTTCACTTGCGACGGAGTCGTAATCAGAAACGTGGAGCGATACGATCTAGTGAAAATCAAACCGACGGAGTCGGAAGTAGAACACCGATTCTGCCTATGACTCCGTCGCTTATGATCTAGTGAAAACTGCATTGTCGGAATCGGAGGCGGAAGCGGAAGAATAAACTAATCATAATGCTCGATTCCATCTTTCCAAAATGTACAAATAGCCGTAACAAATTTAAACGTGTGAGTTTGACTATAAAATTACGAAATTAAAAGTTAAAATACTCGAAACCTACCGAAAGTAGAATTCATGATCACCAAGTCGCAGTTCGCTGACGAGGTTAGCATACTCTCCCAAAGCTGCTCGACGTCGATAGTTATCATGAATCCAAAATCGCTTTCTTTTTCGAACGATAGTCATTCCTGTATTGTCTCTGCCTGCGCAAAATAATGATTAATAAGAGCCAAAGCACAAGTTGCTCTTCGTCCGCCATGTTATCTTTGACGCCAAAATTTGTACTTTCGCGGGCCTGGAATCGAGCATTGCGATTGGTTTATTCTTCCGCTTCCGCTTCCGACTCCGAAAATGCAGTTTTCACGAGATCGTAAGCGACGGAGTCATAAGCGGAATCGGAAGAAAATGGAGACGTTCTGATTCTTCCGACTCCGATTCCGTCGAGTTTATGACTCCGCTTTCGACTCCGTTTTTCGATTTTCACCAGGTCATAAGCGCTCTTACGACTCCGACCACGACTCCGACTCCGACTACGTCGCTAATGAAAACCAGCCTTAAGGAAACCGATCTCTAACGTTGTTATTGAATTGATTTAAAACAAAAGAAAACAAAAAACTCACCGCCAGATCCTACCGATCTAAAATTAAAAGAAAAATGTAATCAGAAACTTCGGGTCCTAATACAAAAAAATGGTAGTTAGGACTTTCTCGAAGTAATTTATAATGATAATAGGACCTAGTAGAGTCCAATTCGATCTGTAATCATACAAAATCGGACGGCTGCGAAGCGGGAGTCCGATTTGTCAATCACGAGTATGATTATAAACCGAATAGTGGACTCCACTTGGTTCTAATACCAACTAGTAACTAGCATTACAATTTCGGAGAAAGACGAATACATATACATTTATCGAAGGGGGCTGATTATAATACGTTGCTTTGATTATCCGATTACAGGTGTCCGATTATAGTCAGCTGTCCGATTACACTGTACGATTACAACTCCATATAGTTAAGAGTGAAAAATAAAGCAGCTAATTCACTAATCAAATTTGAGGAAATTATAATGGTTACGATTAGCGTTACCTTCGTATTTAATTTCACGACTTTATACATCAATATGCCTTCCCCCTGTTAAGCTGTCAAACGCTTTGTTCCATTTTTCCGAAACTTACCCCGCTTTCCATGGAATAAACCGTACTAACTGGTCCGACTGGGTTATGGACATAACGATCCGGATTCCAGCTCACTGCTTTAGAGAGTATTAATCTAGGCGGATTCTCGAGCTCCTTGCTTACCTGGACATGTATGAAGTGACATCGACTTTATCCGATGAAGCGATTTCTTTGATCCATTTCCTTAGTCTTACTATTTTGCCATTGTTACTCAGTGAGTGCAAACCAAGCTAGAAAAAGGAGTGAAAGGTATGTTGCAAAAAAAAGTAGGCTCACTAAATGAGATATCGAATCTCACAATGTAACGCCCTTCCCATTAAGACTGCTCTCGCTACCAATCCGGTTGGCTGGTTTTGACAGGTGTGCGAGGTAGTATCATGCGCGATGCACTTTGATAGATTTTGTTATCACTCGTATGATTACAGATAGACAGAATTGGACTCCACAATAGTACGATACTTTCTCCCGCTACTTGTTTTGTTTAAACATCCACACTAGCAAAAGGAGTGCCAATAAACCAAGGCACAGGAATTTCAGTCAGCTTCAAATTGCGTTGTCTGTTAAATACTAAAGGTTAAACAGTCAAGCATGAAAACGTTTCACTTACCTCCGCAGAATTTAGAACTGTAACACGTTTGATGACATAGGTAATTTTGAATTTTCCAATACTGGGATCTTGGAAAATGCCAGCGACCTTCGTGAAAGAAAAATCTGCAGGTTTAGGAGTTTAATCAAGAAATTTTACGGCCACCTATTTTAAACACCAAAATTTATTACCTACTGCGTCTTCTCTTCTGTACAAAGTAAATAGCGAGTAAAGAAATTATTTTGTTCCAAGACTCACAATATTCCCGATGATGAGCAGAATTGATGCAATTTTGGACTCGCCATATTTTTCAGCAGTGATTTCATCTGTTACCAAAGCAACCTCCAAGTATTTGTTTGACGATCCAATGGAACGCACACTTCTCTTCGGTAAAGTTGCATCGGCTGCAGTAACAAAGTAGGTCATATAACCGTTAGAATTATTGTGTGGATAAACCTTTAAAATGGAATTCCTCTTCCCTGATAAAGAAATGTATGGCTGTAAAATCATGGAATTACATCTATTAGGATTACTAATTTTGTCTTATCTTTTTTAACTTTTACTTTTAAAAAGAAGTCTTAAGATATCTTGAATGCCTAACAGCCAGACCAACATTTTAAGCAATACTGTGTGTTTTTGTGGAGACCAGTGCCAATTTGTAAGAAATAGAGCAACCACGAAAAATAGTAAATTTTTGGATGGCTGCGATAATGACTGATTCGGATTGCGAATGACAACGTCGAAAAATTTAGGATACTCTAAAACTACGTAAATTGGATGAGCTTAACAAATTTACCTCGCTTGCTGAAAATCAAATTTTCTCTGGTTGATCTTTTAACGATGAGATGAGGTTGACTTATCCCTTTATGTTCGATGTGCCTTGAGAGATAAGTTGGCAGCGGTTGAATGTATAAAGATTCACCAGATCGCTGGATCAGACCATGCTACAAAAATTCACATAGAACAGTCATGATCAGTTGGCATTTTTTAGACTCTGGGCAGTGCCAGACGGGGTCACCCATCCTCCTTTTGGAGAGGCCAGTATCTAAATCCAGCTAAGAGATGGCTTAGTTGTGTTCTTTAGCGTCACTCTAAAAGAGCCCCACGTCCATAAATGGATACAGCAACTGTCAGTGATTAACCTGAAGTATTAGTAGCCTTTATATAGTCCAGCATCGTGTGTAACACTACTAGTCACCTTAAGTTTTCAAAACCACTGCTAACCTGGACTCGTCATGCATAAGCGCATCTGAATTATGTTGTCGTCAGTTATGTTTCAATAGAAATGTAAGGGTACTTGTGAGGAAATGGTTGCATTGACAACCCAAACAATTCCCAGGATTAAGCTTTGAAAAAATAAATGACTTTTTCACATTCCAGCGTTCCTTTGCCTTTGCTGTTCAGTTTAAGTCAATTCATGGCAAGTCGGCTGATAAATACAGGGAAAGTTAAAAAAAATTGTTAGAAAACTACATTTCTTGTAAATTTGGCACCATGCCAAAGATATTGAAAACAATTGTCTGAAAGAAATTTATGACTCTCACCATTCCCTCGGAGTGACTAACGGCCACCATTGACTCGGGCTCTGACACGACCTTTCCAAGATAAAAACTATTTTTTGGAGCGGGTTGATGCTCTGTTCTTCCATCTCTTCGATTGATTTCCACTCTAAAGTCGGATGACATAAGTCTCTGGTTTAACTTGAGTTGCAGAGGCAGCACTTCACCAAAAGCCTTTATCTTGAAGTACTTTTTATCAGGGATATCATAATCTTTGGCGCTCCTCTTTTGGCGTTGATCAGCGGTTTTCTCTTCATAAGGTTCGCTAATGTCGTACTCAGGTACTGAAAATTTTTCATGGTACATGAAATTTTTGGTTTCAAGTTATTCAGATAAACAAGTGAAAGGATCTCAATGGAGCGATGGCTTTTACGGCTAATGGTTAAATTTTGGCCACTTTAAAGCTAACGGTTAACTTCCATCCTTTGTGATTAACAAGAGTTAATCTAAGAGTTAAAATTTGTAAATTTTTACGCCTTACGGCTGATTTTTTTAACCGTTCTACGGCAAAAAGTTATCCCCATTGAGACACTCAAGTAATGTTCATCCAATAGTGTGAGAGATGAAAACATTCTCAGAACTTCCAAAGACTTTATATTAGTGCGAGATAGAGAATATAAACCCTTTGCGAGATTTTTGTAGCCTCGGTTGCATAAAAATGATGCAAAAAAAGCCCACGAAGAGCGAGATTCCGATCTCAGAGGTCACGTGTTTCAATTACGTAATCCGATATAAAACAGTGGTACAAATCGCGCGCAAAACTCCATTTTCAGCAAATAGTTTCACTTAAAATTTTACAACTAGTAGATTTATTTCCTCTTTAGATCAGTAAAAATGCCATGGATTCTGCCAGAATTTTATAAAAAAAAATCTCTTGCGTTTAGTTGTAAGTAGTTCTATTTAAAATTCATGAAAGACTACCTTGCGATAGGTCGTCAGTTCCAAAGAAGATCTCCCGCTCTCTCTTAGTCATTTTATGATGAAGTTTTCCTGGAGATCTTCCTTGTGATTCCTTTAAATTCAAATAAAATGACATGTATTTTACTTAAACTGAGCTGGTTTTAAGGGCCTGCAGATTAAAAAAGGAATCTTCAAATTAGTTAGAGGGCTTTAAGTTCTGTTATTAGTATTTACCTTATAGGAAATGGCACCAGATGTGACTGAAAATAAAAAAAAATTACAATAAAATATATTAATAGAACTGATGATACAGCGAGAATCCCCGATATGTATCGAACCTGAAATACCTATCTCATTGATGGAGAACCTCAACTTCTGTTTCAAGATGTTGTTCTTGTTCCTTTATCTCTACATAGAACCCCGTGAAAAATGATCTCTTTTGAATGACACTGCTTGGTCCGTAAAGACCATGTCCCGGACACAACATATTCGATTTTTTACATTATTAGCAAAAATGTGGTAAGAAATCTTCAAATTTGTCCAAAAATAGTTTCTGGAAGAATGAAGACACAACTTGTTGTGGATACGAATGTTCGTAAAAGCCAAATTATCGTCAAGACCGAGCGTAAATGTGAAAAAATCCACAGATCCTGAAAACGACTAATTAGAACATAGTTGTCTAAGTAACATAAGGTCGCAATGTGGAATAACCAGCGAAATTTTTCAACGATTAAATTCAACCGCCTCCCGGTTAGCTTAGTTGGTTAGAGCGCCGGGAGGTTGAGGGTTCGAAACCTGGCTAGGCCTTTCTCGATTATGCTAGCATTTTTTTCGGCATTTTTTGGGAAAACGAGCATTTTTTTCGTTTATTCTTGAAAAAGAATTGCTAGCATTTTCTGTCATTTATCATGACTGTGATCCAGATTTCAGCACTCAGAAGGATAAATAATCCTAATGTTTCACAATTTTGATTGTTTTCTGTCTGTTTCGACTGTTTGTGCGTTGTGTTACTTGTGTGTGTAGATTGTCTGTATCCGTTACATGACTTACTAACACCAACAGACATAGAAATATTCACCTTCATGGATTAAGCAAAGACAGAAAATCAGTTTCCAAGTAAAAGTGGTCTCCATCCTGTTATGACGATAAAAAACAAACAAACAAACAAACTTCAATGAATCACAAGGAGAAATAGTATATTGTTTTCAAAGGGGGCACTGAATACTATTGGTAATCCAAAATATACTGAAACATTGTTATCGAAAAGGAAGGTTTCTTGAATTAAAGCTGATAGTTTCGAAAGAAACTGTTTTGGGGCTGCGTCTAAATCCCACAGGGATCAACGAACGTTTTTCATTCCACTAATTTATTTGTCTTTTTCTCGTTGCCATGTTCCCACCAATAACGTAGCTCCATTTTCTGCCTTTAAAAGCACACACAACCCACAATTCCTCTATTCGCTCCGACGAAGGGCTAACGCTCGAAACGTCAGCTTTTATAATCGTTACTGTGGCCAATTTATCATTTCAACTTTGTTGATATATCCAAATTGTTTCTTGAATTAGATTATTTTCAGGCAGTCTATTTCAGACGATTCAGTTGCTTGTTTGCAAAAGGTGGCGTTATGCAGTTGTTAAGTTGAACAACATTGTCCATTATTGCCAATAGCCCTAGGTACGATGGTGCTGTTCAATATTTTTTTAAAAAATGTGTTAAGCCCAGTGCAAATGCACTGGATTTGTCCACTGTACACGCTCTCAACATGTTGAGCTCAACAAGTTGAGCGCATTTGAACACCCTATTGAGAGGTTTTGAGCGGTGTTCAGCGGTTTTCAGCGGTGTTGAGCGGTGTTGAGCGGTGTTGAGTCTTGTTAAATCAAATTTGAAACTGGTCAGACTTTTCGCTCAACACGGCTCAACATTTCCTTTTCTTTCGCGGTCGTCCATGCGTGGTTCAACAAAGTCGAGTGCATTTGTACAGCAACGATCAACATATTGAGCCCACGCACGCGCAGTGCCCAGCGTATCCACTGGGAGTTTAAACATACCGAAAATTTTACAAGATGGCGTCGTAGCAGATAGAAGTTCTACAGGAAAGTTCAAATGCAAAAAATTCTAAAAGAGGAAATACAAGAAAATGGACGGAGGAAGAAACGGAGAGGCTGATTGATTTGTTGGAGAAAACTACATGCTTATGGGACGTAAGCACGAAAGAATACCATTTAAAAAACAAGAGACAGAGAGAGCACTCAGTCATATGAGTGACGAACTAGACATTGAGGCAGCAGATACTAAGACAAAGATGTTTGGCCGAGAACTCAACAAAATAAGGTCAAAGAAATTGCGGGATATGTTATCCCATGAGCCTTTGTGAAATCTTCGGAATGCTCAACATGTTATGTCATTGTTGAGATCTTTTGAACACCCCGCTCAACAACACCTCAACAAACACTCAATATGTTGAGAGCTTGTACAGTGGACAAATCCAGTGCATTTGCACGGGGCCTTAACAGTCCTCGCTAATCGTTGTCACCTATCATTCCCTAGTGTTCATGCCGTGGTCATGTACACTGACAGCTGATTCTCTTTGCAAGAAAAGAAGAATCGAACAAACCTGATAAAAACAAACTACCCTCAGAGCTTAATTAGTAAGGTGAAAATGAAAACTTAAAGTTGTTGTTGAAATTCAAATACCATTCTTTTGAAAATGTCAGAAGAGTAACAACTTGTTTCATGGTTACGTTGCCATCGAGAATCCTCGAAAGACCACAACTTACCTCTTTACGTAATTTTTTACTTGGTTTTTCGAGAGAGAAATCACAGCTAAACCTCCACAGATGGTACTGCACTGGGAGAGACTCGTAAAAGATATTCTTCGGAGTGTATAATACCGACTGAATGTGTCTTTTTTAATTAAATATTTTAATTTGCCAATTTTTTAGGACTCAGGTGTACCTTTTTGATTGGTTCTCATGATAAGCTCAAATTTTGAAAATGTCTATTTTGTTGGACTTTTAAAACAAACTCGTTTCGAAAACTAAGAAGCCGGTTTAAGAGAAGTGACTCTTTTTGCAATAATGTTAAGCTTCGACCATAATTACTTTTAAGGTATATGTAGTGTCTCATTGGGTTTGTCACGACATGACGCTAATGCCCTCAACAGGTTGACGTTGACAATTTTCTTTACTGCTCTATGTTTTTTTTTCAATATGAACCCAGAACAAGTCTAAGAACTCAAACTGAGTTTTTATGTAGCTCAGTTGAACATGCGACCACAAAAGGTGAAGTTACTGGTATTTTAATCCACGCAGGAAACTTAAATTTTCCATTTACCCTGCTGTAAACAAATCATGACAAATGTTAAACTTTCCGTTGTCAAAAGGCTTAATATAACATAACCAAACCTTATTACACCGCCAAGTAAATAACGTCCCATAGTAAACTTCACTGCTGTTTCCTACAGAGAGACATTGATCCCTCGGTAGAAAAGGACTTTGACACGCAATTTCCTGTGTCACAGCACCAACACTATATTGGAAATTAAGTGTTCAAAATATAAACAAGTTCACGCACGTGACGTCATAATACGTGCACAGTCCATAGTAAAATAAGATATTTTGTTCACTCAAATAAGAGTTTTAATCATACCATATGTATTAGTTACAATTTGTAAGCAATTCTGGCTTATCTTTATTGATACACCTAGAACCTCTCATGATCTGAAGGGATGATAAGGATCTTAACCTTTTCTTTAAGGACAGGAAGTTAATTTTAAGGCTGGACTAGCTGAGAATACGGGAAATTTTTGAAACTTAAACATAGTTAATCTAGAAAGTTGAACAGTTTACTGAATCATGCCAAAGAAAGAAACACTTTAGATAAAAATACATTCACATTTTGAGTACGAATTTTTATGTATTAATGTTGCAGATGTTTTGATGTTTGCATGATGTAAGCCCTCTGGAAAATACTTCGACTGAGTTACATTAACAATCGAGAACTCTGGATCAGATTTTTTTTTAGACATTGCGAATTTCTTTTCAATAAATTAAATTAAAAAAGGGAAGAAACGACACATCTACAGTTCTCACTTGTCAACTTCATGCATGAATCAAATTTATATTGTTATAGGAATATTTCTTTGCAAGCTGAAAAGAGCGGTTGAGACATGAAAGAAGATACCGTCGTAAGATAAATGGAAGTTACTGATTTATAGGTTTCTAAACCAAAAAATTGAAAAGGGGCGTTAGAATAAACACCACGGTTCCAAAACTGCACCCTCAGCAGAAAAGGACTTTGACACGCAATTTCCTGTGTCACAGCACCAACACTATATCGAAAAATAAGTGTTCAAATTATAAACAAGTTCACGCACCTGACCTCATAATGCAAAGTTACTGATTTATAGGTTACTAAACAAAAAAAATGAAAAGGGGCGTAAGAATAACCATCACCGTTCCAAAACTGCACTTCTATTACTGGCCGTTAAAAGGACCAAAATTGAAATATTGACCTCATGTGATACATCAATTTCAATGTATATTTCTTTCATTTATTCATTTCATGAGTGGTAGCTTGGCTATGTAATAACTGTTAGCAGGAATATTTTGCGAATAAGTAACGTATTGTTATATGGATTCTGTAGCTCTCCCAAGCATTAATAGAGCGAAAAACTGCAAAAAGGAGAAATGATAAGTGCTCTTGTCTTTCCAAGAGGTGCTCTCTTTGGTCTAGTGACCAAATTTTGTTTTATAATGGTTTGTGAAGAATATCTCATGAATTAACTTCTTCAATAAGTTTCTTCATCTAGTTTAAGTGTTAAAGTTTTAGTGTAATCGGTGTGTGAGAGGTGTTTTTAGGATAAGGAGGTGGTGATAACAAAATAATTACTTGCATTAAAAAATCTACTTCATTTCAGGTACGTAAAGGCATTGTTTTATCGTTAGACAAGACTACTTATTTGGTATAATAGAGTCTAAAGTTATGACGGCCTCAGCGATCACTGTTCTCCAGTTATCTTATAGTAACATTTTAATGATCAGAATTAATGAAAGCTTTAAATTTTGAAAACTGCTTTTCGATCGTATGTCCCATTCAACACGTTAGCTTTTTTGTGAAACACAATTTAAATTTTTTATCCCCATAGAAGTTGCTCAAACTGATGTCTGTGGACCTCAAGTTTAACACAATGAAAATACAATTTGAGACTAGCTGAATCCCTTTGAAAATTCTTTTACTGGTTTTTATTCGGTTTAACATTATTTTTTGGTGTGAATAAGGCGAAAGATTGAAGCCTTTTCTATATCCAACTAGACGCCTTTTGCCATGTACGCTAAAGTTCAACACTGGAAGAAGTATATTCATCATTGTACGGTGCTTTCGAAATAAATACATTTGTATGAGTTACATTAAAGGGAAACGAGAGAAAGCACCCACAGTTCATTCTTTTAACAAATTAAACGCCCCCAGAACATCTGGGAAACTTTTATGTCCCACACGAATCAAAGGACAAACAAGAGAAAGACTTCAATTCAAGTGTCACGAGCGTAGGACAATGTTACAAATAAATAAACAACAGTGGAATTCTCTCTCCCACTTTTCTGCATCCTAGGAAACCACAGCAGCTATCAGTTTTCGTTTCTATTTAGTCCCCTATTCATGGTGTGACACTGGTTGATTTGTACACGAATTGAAATTAATCGTGCAGTTATGCTTGGTATAACTGGATGACAGAGACACAACTAAGAAGATCGAATCATTTTGGATAAAGGATGGTCAAATATGCTCCTCCCTCAGCAAGAGTGGCGTGTAACTGTTGCAATCTAAAATATTAAAGATTGATATCAATTTCGATTTCCCGAGCGGCAAACGGTCTCAAATCAATCTTTCCTTCCTGCCTCTCAGCTACTTGTGTTAGCGATAACGAGAAAGTGTTTTTCATGTCGTTTACCGGAAAAGAAGTTTCTACACTTCTACACCACATAAGGATTGGATTCAAAATTAAGGAAACTGAGAAATGAACTTTGCCTTGCTTACAGCAAGCTTGGCTCTAGATTATTTTACTTGTTGGAATCATGGTATTGATCAGAATGGTGCCCCGTATACACTTGAAACCTTTGTGTTAGCACTTATGGTGCTCTTATTTTACCTTGGATGATTTGAGCCTCCTACATCTCAAACTCTTTTTCACTGTTTATGTCCTAACAAAGGCCACCTTACAATAAAACAAGTCGAAAATAAAAACGTGCATGACGTCATACCGTGGTTAAAGAAAGGATTTTTTTCACTGGAGCTGATTCCGTAACGACTTATTTAACAAGTATTCTTGGGCTGATGAAGAGGATTGATTCGTTCATGACAGATTCTACAGTTGAGTAAAACGTCATGCTGACAAATTATAACACATTAAGACTACATACAATTTTTGTGAAATGGCATTTTTGCAGTCTTTGTCACATACTACGAGATCTAACGATAACATGAGTAAATGTAGGGGTTATGTTGCTTGTAAACATTCATTCCCTCCATTGTAAATAATCTGGAAAGCGACTTTGGAATACAGCAGTTTGTTAATGTACTCGGAGAAATAATTTTTACGAGGCATATTTCAGAGAAATTCTGAAATGCTCGCCAAAAGAAAATACACGAGTTAATTATCACAAATTGAACTATTCAGTCCTTGTGATAATTTTTAAGCGTTTCAACAAATTTAGAACGCCGGGTCCGTTTAGGATTCAAAATAAAAAGGAAAGATGGTTGCTGAATGATAAATTGACTTCTACATACACTATCGATCTATCGATTTATCTATCTGGAAATCTATTTATCTCTCTGTTTCCTTGGGCGAGTACGAATCGCGTCGAACACGTTCCGAATTAGCCCCCTTTTTTATGCTCCCCAACAAAAGTAGAGTACATTGCAAAAGTAAATACTGTATTTGTCAAAGACTGAGCACTACAGATATGCTCCCACCCACCCAAAAAGAAACGTTATCTTAATCAGCCGCTCTCTAACTGGGTTTGATCTCTGAGGCTTAAACAACTTTATGAAAAGAGCGCTTTTCTCAAACAAGAGGCTTTCGAGTCTCAGCAGTATGCGGTTCGCACGCACTGTAGTTTTCTAAAAATCCTGTCTGAATATATTAGAAATGGCTTGACGAAGTCGATGGTATATTCTTTGTCTTAAACAGTGCTGTTTTCCCTCGCAGTTATATTAAAGCCAGTATATACCTTAGCAGATAATTTTTTTTAGAGTGTAGTGGTCAGGTTTTGAATCAACCACCAGCAACCGATTTAGATGATGCAGACATATTGGAAATTAGGCATGAACTGAATTCTTGGAATCTAAAGAAAGGACTTGGCAAAATCCAGTTTGAAAGTGCTATAAACAAAAGCTGGTGCTTTTAATGACCAACGGTTTCCTCCTCGTAAACTTATCAAGTGACCTGCGATGAGAAATACTTCTATTGAGAGAAAAAATGAATTTGTAGACCATGATGTATCAATTTTCAGTCATTGTTATGGTTTATCTTTTTAGAACAATGAGGCCATTGTTCGTTATACGCTGAGGCCTATCTATGGGTTGGTTCAGATCGCAAAGGCAAATGTCAAGTTCAGACGGTAATTTTTTCCGAGGAGGATCTTTTGCCCCAGGATAGTATCCGACTTGAGCATCTTAGTAGCTCAAAAGATTTAAAGAATTTTTTTTCCCTATCTACTTTCAGCCCTCCGCGTACACCACTGAAATGTTTATTGACCACGTTTTCCGTCGTTGTCCACATTCATTTCATTTCAGTTTTTTTTTCTTTAGATGGTTCTGTCAATAAGGATTTTTGATACGTCAAAATGTGTCGCTCACTGAATTAAGTTTTCCGGCCTTTTCCTACTAAACAAACATGTTTTTCCTCGTGATACCACTTAAAAAGTTTTTTTAGTCTATTGTAAAGCATACTTTTCATCTCAATATCATTTATAAGGCATCATTGAAAATTCTTACTTATAGATATCAAACACTCAATCTCAATTTAAAGCTTCTTCTTAAAGAAAGATTTGATACTTTTCATATCACAGGTAAGTACCAATCAAAAATGCGATCTTCAGTTGCACCTCCAGTTTTATTCAGTCAAGGCAGGCGTAAACACAACGAGGAACGCCTTTCAAAATTTTCCATTGAGTTAAAATGTTAAAAGAGTTGCCAAAAAGGTTATCTCCTCCTCTGAATTTAGATGTGAGAGAAAACTGGATGTGGATGGTGAAAATAAGAAACATTTTTGTTTTTCTTAATTTTAAGAGTAAAAGGTTCCCGTTGGAAAAAAGAAACTGAAAAGAGCAAGCTATAAAGAACCATGATTGAGCCAAACAAAGTTTGTTACACATTCTTAAACGCAAAAAAAGATGAGCGTTAAAAATTCATTAAAAGTTCTTTTATGGAATATTAAACTTGTGACCCTGAAAACAAATACGGCTCAGGGTATGCAAAGAGGGAATGGGTCATGAGAGGTATATGATCTGCCTTTTTTCACATCGAGAAACAGGACATAAACCTAATCTAATCTGAGTCCCAAAAGAAGGGACCCTAAAAAACAAATTGTAATCGTTACCTTTACAAGAAATGTAGTTACCGTAATGTATTTACCGCAATATGCAAAATATTATTTTAGAAGGATAAATGATACATATGTCTAGAATCGATAAGGTTGTTTATCAACTTTCTCTTTCACTGGTTAAAATCTGCCTATACCTAATATTTAATCTCAATAACACAACTTGTAGAGAAAACTGTTTGAATCAATATTCTGTCACTTTTAAATGAAACATGTCACAAAAGATAACAATGAAGATTTCGATAACAAGAAAAGAGTAATGTGTTAAAACAAAAAGTCCATTTATGAAAGCAATGTTACTTTCACAATCGATATTAACCAGCTGTCCATATATTGATACGTGAAACTGAAGTAAAATAATAGACAATTACAGGGAAAAAAACTCTTAATAATACTGAAAACCCTTTAGCGAAGATTTCGTACCATTTAATAGAGAAACGAAAGTCTGCTCACGAAGGTTACCCAATATCGCTAAACCTACAAATTGAATCGTAGTCTTCTGTAAGTGTGCTTTGCGAAAAATCCTGAACCACAAATGTGACGAATTTAGTATTCATTTTCTAAATAGCATGTTCCATTTACGTCAATTTTTTGTTTCCAGAATATGAATCTGAAATGGAAAATTTTCTTTGCTATTTATTACGCAAGTGTTTTCATCGACGGAGGTAAGTTGCGCTTAACATTCTAAAAGAAGATGCTAAGGCGGAGTAAAATTGAACCGTGTTTCAACCACTCGCAAAAAAAAAAAAGAAAAGCGTTTCATGTTTAATTCGTTTAAAAGCTGTCTATATACATGTTTTAGAGATATGAGAAGCGATTAATACATGTATGTCAAGTAACCGGGCGATATAGTTTCTTTAATCCCTTTCCTTATTTCGAAGGGAGGATTTTTTTCTTGGATAAAAACAGTCACAATTAAAATTTTTATGTGCTTTGATAAACGGAATCTGGGAAGAACAACCAGTAAAGAGATTAGTAGGCTTATTGAATGATTGTAGAAGAGAATGCGAACTTTTTTCCCTTGAGTTGCTTACCTACTGATTCAATTTTTCGTTTATCTAAATTAAACATTCATACAGATTTAAGATGGTAAAGTAACTAACTTTCATAGAGGCCAGATTTTTCAGACGTCTCCGGGTTGGAAAAGATATTAATATAAAGTGACTTTAAAAGAATGTTGTTTTGAAAATTTTCCAACACAACTTAAGTAAGTGCTCAGATTACAGGTCTGTATCTAACCAAATTTTTTTCTCTCTCGCTTCTGGTAGAAGTCGTTGGTAGTAATTCATTCAACAAACACACGGTAAGATTATTGGGTACGAAACTCAGTTATATCCAATAAAATGGAATCAATAAATCAGTCGATGAAAACTTTCAAGAAAATATATCTCGGCACGAAGGGGACATGTATCGTTTTCGTCCGTCCACATGAGGACCAAAGATGAAACTCTTTTGACTTTTCATAATTTTAATAAATATATATTACACATTTCTAGAACATATCCAATCAGGTTCGTTTTACATATTCCTGATACTGGGCCGCATAAAAACTTTATTCATCGTATTCAGATAGGTCAATTTGGCATTCTGGGAAATAGATCACATTCAAAGTTTTTTTACCCCCTATATGTCTATAAGATCTTTATGAAGGGAATGATACGGTTACTGTTTCACTTTTAACCACTTATTTTTCTGTTTTACTGATTTAGTTCAACGATGTCCACCTGCGCATGGCAGATAATGAATTACATAAGACATTTGGAGTTGACTCAAGAGAAAAAGGTTTGATGCACATTTCTTTTGAGCTTTATCCATTAAACGATTTTCACAACCTTATGATGTGGATCAACAGATTTCTATCTAAACAACTAATTAGTGAATAAACCTTTAAGGCGGCTTGTATTTGAGCTGATAATGTCCACGGATGAGAGGTTATCCGAAAAATAAATATTTGACCGAGAGGCGAAACTTCGAGGGCAAATATAAAATTTTGAGGACAATCTGTCAGCGAAGGACATTACCAGCCGACATAAATCAGATAGTGGTTTATCTATTTTATGACCCATTTATTTTCATATCGCAAAAAAAAAAACGGCTAGTAAAAAGGGATTGTTGATCTGATGGCGGATTCGCGAATTTGACGTAGGAAAGTGTAATTACCTGAACGGGATTTGTGACCAGCTTTTAAACGTCACTATCAGTAGTCTGTGATTTTGGAACTTAATGGGGAGGGGGCGGGGTTATAAGCCATTCTGATACCTAGATAATTTTTCGCACCATAGTCCCAGAATATGAGGTGATAGCTCCCTATCAATCGGATGATTTGGGGAATTTTGTTGATTACATTCTCCATGACGAGGTAAGAACACGGAGAGCCATTAGCGAGCCAGACTTCTGGTACTTCAAAATTGAAGCGTTTGGAAGATCACTTCATCTGAACGTCACGAAAGTAACGCCGCGCGTTACGGCTGGAGCAGAGGTTGAGACAGTAGATAACAGTGGAAAGTCGACTTATAGAGAGGTGCCACGCTGTGTACATTATACAGGTCACGTGACCTCGGAACCAGGATCACTGGTCGCCATAAGTGAAAATAAAGGATTGGTGAGTCTTACATCTTAATCTTGCGCCAGTTTTGATGTTAAGTTTTGGAAAGCTAGTAGATCCATACTAAAACACTGGATAATTTTCTCTCGATTTCCGTGCATGATTGAGCTCATAATTTCATTAAAAACTATCTTGCATTCCTATTGGGTAATGATACAGCTCTTTTTTACCTTTTTTCAGTCTGGGATAATTCGTACACTCCAGGATACACTTTACATTCGACCTCTCTCACAGAATTTTATTGAGAAGAATCAGCTTCAACATGGTGCTCCTCACGTCATCTACCGGAGGTCAATCAATCAAGTTTTGTCGCCTGATCTTCATGTTTCAGGTAAGAAAATGAATCTTGGTTATTTGTCGTTTTGTCATGCATTTGTCAAAATGATGTAAACTCCGTTCTTTGAGCCTCTTCAATGCAAACTGGAAGTTTCTAAAGATGAAAACAGCGTTATGGTATGGCAAGGTGGTTCTATAGTTCAAAGAGGCAAGGTTTTGAATTTTTGAAATTGTTTTTAAATGAAAAAAAAAAAACCTTAACATCGTGAAATTAGTGGGAAATACAGGTAAAATAAGGAAGACGATGGTTGAAATTTACTTTTAAAGGCTCAAATGGCTACAAAGATCATTTCTCTGTGTGGAAAAAGTGGCTTTCAGGCCCACAGCAAAAAATATGTCTGCTCTTATCTTTAAGCAGATCGCCTTTTGACAATCTCTTTGGAAGAAAAGAGTCAATAAGGCCCTTCCCCTTTTTTCTTCTTTACAATTCAGCGAGTGATAGGATACCCTTTAAAAGGACCACACCTATCCTTCACCGGAGAAAAAAGCGTCAAGCTCCTCAGAAGTTCCTGGAAATTGCTATGATAGCTGACAACTTTGCGATCTCAACCTACGGCGAAGATGAAATGACTTATCATCTTTTAACTATCGTTCATATTGTAAGTGTTTTCTTTGTATCCTCCCAGTTAGCTCAATAGATAGAGCGCTGGACTGTTGTGCAGGAGGTCAAGGGTTCGAGCCCCCGCAGGACCAACACTCAAGGTCTTAAAATAATCGAGAAGATTATGCTACCTTTCTATAACATCAAGAAATGGTTAGATATTCTAGCCTTCTCGGATAGGGAAGAATAAATGGAGGTCCCGTCTCCTGCAGGAGGGGTAGGAGACGTTAATTTCTTACACACGAGATTACTGTGTGATGGATGTCCTTCCCTGGGGT